GTCGATATTACAGATTGGAGTAGACAGTAAGGATACTGCATTTACCTTGAAATTAATTAAATAATGCACTGAAGGAAGCCCAGCAGCAATGTCTGATTTATTCTCGAAACTTCTTAGGGTATTTAGACAATAACAGGCACAATGTTGTAAATGTTCTGCTCAGTAGAAAAAAGCGTCAGAGACAACCTCGCTTTTGAATTAAAGTCTCATGCAAAGACAGTGAGAATTTGAATTTAATGTGATTATTAAAATCTGTTTGGAAAGGATGGTCTAGTCCACCTATACAAATTCTCCAAAATGAGATCACCTTGCAAATACGACAGAAAACAACCTTCCAGGAATGAAATGTTTTTCTGGACATTTCTCTCCGATACAAGCCCTAAAGGAAAGAASAAACTAATCTGTGCCATCTTTGTGGAAGGAGACAAGGATAACTCCTGCAGCTCATCAGGTGTTTGAACTAAACATTTGCAAAGGAAGTTTTGATTTTCACTACTAAAAATAAACTCCAGGTTGTACATGAGGCTGATTTTGTAGTCTTCCATAATGTCTTTTCTGCACTATTTTCTGGGAATTTTATGAGCTAATATTTGAAGAAGAAACTCTAAGGAAATAAAGGCACAGATAGAAATTTCAAGGCCTTCTAAAAATGGGCCTTCAAATGTGGCTTATGCCCACCTCCTTTATTAGTGAAAATTGAAAATAAGTCACTTTCTTCTCATCTAACTGAAATTGAAATATGGCTCTCCTATTCTAAAACAAAAATAGCCTCCCTGGAGTATCGGTTACTAAGTATCACATCACTGAAGGCAAGGGAGTCCAGTCTGGTGTCACCATAGAAGTGGTTTAGGTTTTGTTTGTTTTGCATGCAGACGAGGTCAAAAATACCTTTGAAAAAGCTTCCCATAGGCACCCTCTGTTCCCTGAAATTAAAAACCATCAATTCAGGAGTCCAGCTGTCAGCATAAGGCACACTAAATCAGCAGACCAGATTCACTGTGTCCTCTCAGCCTTCATACCCCGCTGGACTGTCCCGGCCTCGCTGTGCTGCAGCCCTTCACCTCAGATGAGCTCCTTCCAGTGCTTTCAGCGCCGTCTTTTATGGTCTGGCTTCTACTCTGCACTCAGTACTCTRCCTCTGCTTACAGGATCTGAGGTACCTCTTCAGACCTAAAGAAGAAATTAAATTAATTTACAGAGGTTAACCTCAGACTTTCCCGAGTGAGTGAGTGGGTTCACATCCCAGCACTGTGCAGCTGCGTTTGTGAGCAGGACATGAAATGCCTGTGTGTGGCTGGAACGAGCCTGGGGAGTCAACCCTAGGGATGTGCTGCCCACAGGAGTTTGAAGGAAAAATGATTCCCACTCACCTTTTGAGTTGCTTTGGGATTTTTTTGCTATTTATAATTTTCTTGAGTTTAAAAATAAGCCTGTCCTCATCGCTCCTTAGGGTCTGACTCAGTACCAACACCACTGACGGAGAAGGCCATACTTAGAGGTACTTGTCATCTTTGGGAGGAAAATCACTGGGCAAAACCAGAAGTGCCAGTGCTAGCCAGGAGGTGGCAGAGGAGCCAGGCTACTTTGTACACCACATTGGTTTGGCAAAAGCACAAATAGAAACCGAGGAAAGACAACAAAACCCAGCCCCACCCTCCATCTTCAGGAATAAGAGGATGAAACCCTTAATCACATCCCTCCTTGTATTTATACTAATTGCTCATCTTTCTGAGATCTGACTTTATRAAATTATGCATGCACACCAAGCAGATGAGTTTCCATAGAAACTCGGGAGCTGAACTTTCATTAGAAAAATCTTTTTTTAAAAAAATCTTCCAGATAAAAATGCAAATTGCCTGTCAGGGGGTGGCTTTCTGAATTTATATATAATTTTTTTTCTTTTGCTCTGTAGGCAGRTTCCAACTGGACCTACATAGCAACAACATGCAGGCATTGTTTATAGCAAGCCAGACTCCATGGGGAAATAAGAAATTCAGTAGCAAGGAGAAGCTCTCAAGTGCAAATACCTCAGGGAAACAAAAACTCAAGTGCTCAGTGCTGCATTTTCCTGAGGCGTAGGGTTTATGCAGCCTTCAGCTCTCAAAATGCTTGTGGTTTGCAAGGAGCGGTGTGGGGAGGAGGGGAGAGAGGAAACCCAAAGCAAGGAACTCTCCTGCACACAGAATTAATGATGTTCAACCTGTCCTTTAAACATTAGCAGCATATTTGTGCCGCTTGGGTTAAGCCTCGCTAAAAGGCTGACACCATCTGTCGCCGCTCACTCTGGGCAAAGGAGGAGGTCCCTGCTGGGGCTGGGGAGCCGTGGCAGACCTGGGTTGGCCAAACCCCAACCTCCACCTGGGCTGGGCCTGGAGCCCAGGATCGTGTGCCCGCACTGCATGGAAGTCCAGGCAGTGTGCAAGAAGAGGGCACGAGGCTGTTCCTTGTCCGAAGAGGAAGCAGGATGGTGGCATGCCTGGGAAAGGCCATGGACCTGGGCAGCATTTGGCACCAACAGCTGTGCACGCAAGCAAGGAGGAGGTAGAAAATCTCAAACTCCTCTAGCAAATGTTTCCTGTGTTTCTCCCTAAAAACACAGCAGCTTTTCGCTTGTGCAGTGTATTGCAGCATCAACAGGAGGCCTTGCTCTCTCTCTGAGGGTTCACGGATGTTTTCTCAGCTAAACTGGCAAGCTTGAAAGCAGCGAATACCAAAGAGCAAACGTTCACGTGTGCTGCGCTTCCCGGTGGGCATCTGCCCGCRGTGGGCACAGCCGGGTGTGCAGAGCACCGTGCTGCTCCCGGGGCCTCAGCACGGGCACGGCAAACCTGGAGCCACGGCAGAGAAGGCACGGCAGGCTCTGGTTCCTGAGCAGCAAGGATGCTGGGGCACGCAAGGGAGCTGCGCTGCACGAGCAGTTTACGACGAGGTGGATTTCACTGCGGCATTGTTGAGAGGCGCGAGATGTCAGCCGGGCAGGGAATTCCCCTCCTCGTTGGAGAGGGATGACAGGCAGCAGCTGCACGGGCTCCATGGCCCCTGTGCCTGCGGGGCCAGCAGCCCTCGGAGAGCGCGCACAGAGAGGCTCCGTGCCCTTCGTGTCAGGGTGAGGACRGCGCTGGCTCCCCGGCCACCAGAGAGCACAATCGGCTCTGCTCCGTCGGCGCAACAGGAAGAGTTTTTAGGAAGAGTGGGTTTGTGGTTGAGGACAAAACTTGAGCTGAGATAGCTCCTGTCTATTCTTGGCTCAGCGGCAGATTTGCTATGGCTGCACTACTTGCCCTTTCTATGCCTCATTATCCCTGTCAAGCGGGTGACTCAAATTATAATTGCACAAATGCCTTCCAGTCTGTCATTACGTGCCTGCAGTCATCTCCAGGCAGCCACCTCCAGGGGAACCAGCCTCTCCCACCAGGCTACCTCTGTGCCACTGATGCCTGCTCCCAAGTGGGTTGTAAGATTAGACCCCATTGCTTATCATTTTCCTTCATAGAGAGAAGCCTAAAGGAAAAACACCCCCATTGCATCTCTAAAGGATCAGATTTGATACTGAGTTCATTATTCAGGTCAAGGTTATGGGCAAGGAAGAGGCAGTGAAGCTTTTCGTAGCACCGCCAATATTTGATTAAATGAGCATTTCTTAATTTTTCTCTCAGGCACATGAATGTGTTTCTGTAGGTATTAGTACTATCACTGGCCTTAGGGATGCTGATGCACCCTGTGTTTAATGGTACTTTTGTAACAGCAAACAATGCAAAACAGAGAAAAAAATCTTGACTATTTCCAATAGCATCACCATTTTTTCATCAGAAATCTGCTTGGGTTCTAGTTGTGAGAGATTTCAGGTTTCTTGTGTCTTTTCATATACACTAAAGGYAACTAGACACATCAAAGACTAGGCTAATGCTTTTCCTTATATAGATATATGCATCCACCTACTACATTGTCCCAGGGAAAGCATGGAGTCAGGCATGATCTCACTTTCCAGCATTTCCATGGGTGAGTGCAGGCAGAGCCCATGCAGAGCTTGGCAGGTGACAGGATAGCATTGGCTGCTTCTTCCAGGGGCCCCACTTGGGTGAAGCTGGTGGAAGGTTCATCCTGGTGCGTGCGCCTTCAGGAGGAAGCAGAGAAATGCCACTGGTATGTTGTGGCCTGCAAAGCCCATATGACCATCTGGGCTCAGTGTGGTTGTCTGCTGTGTAATTAACAGGGAGCCTGGCTCATTAGGTGCTTTGTGGGTTCACACACATCCATGAGAGCCCTATAGGAAAACATGTTCTTCCTAACACTTCTTTCATCCTCCCCCTCCTGTTCCTTCCAGATGGTTACACCCACTTGTGTCTTTTCTTACCCTAAGGACAGCTTTTTATACAAGGTTCCTCCATCTTTCTCCTCCCCCACGCTGCTTTAGGATCTACACTGAAGTGCAGGAGGACAGAGCTGTTACATCCCATACTGTTCCATACAGCCTGCCCTTTGAAGTCTGGAAGGGGACCACATCCCTCTGCCCCTGTTTGTTGAGAAGACAGGTTTCTCAGTATGGTCAGGATTAGGAGATGAGAGACTTTACCTCAGTCTCAATGGCATATTCTAGATGTGCAAGAATTAATTCAGGGACTGSCTATAGTCAAACCTATGTACATTTTCTGGGCAAGGAGAGAGGGATGCTTAAAGGGCCTGTAACCTTTCTTCTATATAGCACCAATATCCACTGTCCCAGTAACACACAGCAGGACCACTTGCAGAGCTGGATTGCTGCCTGCTTTAAAAAATAAGTATTTTCACAGTTATTTTTTTTAAATTGCACATCACTATCAAAAMCCACAGAACTTAACAACTGATCACTTTTATTCTTCAGAAGCTGGTGGCAATCCCCCCTCCATAGGGCTTCAGTGCCTGCACTCACAGGGCAGCTCAGCTCAATGGGAGCCCAGGGTGCTCCATTTCTTTCTCTCTTTCGTGTTGTAGTTAACTGCTTGTCACTTGTTTGTTGACAGGGCCTGGTGCTGAACAGACTTGGGCGGAGGGAGCTGGCCCAGAAAGTCCTCCGAGATGCCGTCCGGATCCAAACCACCAGTCATGTTGCATGGAACAGCCTTGGAGAGGTCTTGCAAGCACARGGGAAAAACGAAGCAGCCATCGAATGCTTCCTCACTGCCCTGGACCTTGAAGCCAGCAGTCCTGTCATTCCGTTCACCGTCATACCCAGGGAGCTCTGAAGCTTTTCCCTGCAGCTAAGCACTTTAATTCCATGGACAGACCCTAAAACCAAGCAAATAAACAAAGAAAAAGCCCAACAGAAAAGTGCCATTGTAACCTGGATCCAGGCTAAGTAATTCCAGGATGGGGCTCAGGTCTACAGGCTTAGTTTAGACGAGCTGAACTGYTGAAGAATTTGCAATAGGCAGAATCAGAGAATTGCCTTTTTCTTCACAGGTGCCTGGATAACCTATTCAAATTAATAGCAAGGCTTATTTCAACATGTTGGTTCAAGGTGACTAGAAGGATCATGCTAGGATACCGCTGTTCAAAGCACTTGCACCTTTCAGTGTTCATTAAGGATAAAGCCCCCAAGCCCTGAATTAAAGCCCAGAAATGCTTTAAATAGGAGTAGATTCACCAACCAACTTGACCAAGTTGTGCTTAAGCATGTGGCTGCCTCCCCTCGGATCTGACAGAACGAGAATGACAATTGCACCAAATAGACATGCAATATATGCTGTTTACAAAATTATTTCAGCTATTTTGATAATCCTTTTTCCTGCCTTGCTTTTATATACTGTATATGCTCACTATATTTAGTGTAGCACTTGCCTAGACCAATTTAAATTAAAAATACCTTTTTTTAAATACAGCTGCTCTTGCAGTATAATTCACAAAAGCAGAAAGACCAAAGACCAAATCAGTTCACACTTGAACTAGTATTAAAAACACATAAATATCTGCACTTACATATTTATTGAAAGGCCTTACATGAAGTAGCTAATTATAAACTCTGCGCTTCATTCTTATTAATCACTTAGTGCATCACTTTTAGTGAGGAATAGAATGTTTACCAGTATATAGTGACTGAACTCTGTGCTCTACAGCATTATCTTTCCTGGCACAAAACATTTTTATATCCATCTTTTCATGATAAAAAGCTGGCAGCGGTCTTTTAAGGCAAAGTATGCTGAAGCCAGTATATGTATATATGAATGGCTTCTTYCTTAAAACTAAATCTTTGGATTGTCCATAGAAATTTCACATTAGAGGTACGGAGTCAAGCCTCCAGCAGGATGGTTTTGCATCTCATATCAGGTGTAACAGTGAGGAGCTTCTAACCAGCCCAGCCTCCCCACGGCTGGCACAGGTGGCGAGGGGACGCAGCTGGCACAGCCCCTGCTGAGCTGCTCCGTAGCTCTGTGTGACAGCAACCTGGGGCTGGACCTACCAGAGCCAGCCTATCCACACCAGTCCCAAGATAAAGATGATGCAGAAATTTGCTGCACTTTTCTACGAGAAAAAAAAAAAAAAAAGGTTGGGGCTTTGTGCCCATTTTCATCTGAAGAAGATTTGTGACTTTCTCATAAGTAAGTTTGCACTAAAACACACTTTGTACTATAATTCTGCTTGGTATTGTGATCCACAACTAGTTCACTCTGGAAATAATGATATCCTCAGGCAATAAATAAGATGGGGTTATTTCTTACAGAGCCTGAGGCTCTGGCAGCAGACTTGAAGTCAGTGTTGTTTACAATTATTTGGAAATCTGCAGGCTAATGGAGAGCTGGGCCCTTGYGCTGCTCCCAGCCACACTATTGCAGAGCTCCTTTCCCAGCCTTCCCTCAAGATGCCCACACCGAGGGAAGCACACTGCTCTCRGGTTCGTCGTGGCAGCCTGGTGCACTCCCAGGCCAATATTTTTATTTTTTCCTATTAAATAATGCAGATGCAATAGCCCAGCTTATTTCTCTGTTCATTGAAGGATTCCAGATCTGATGTAGGTTGGTTTCACTGCAGGTGAAAGCAGCCCAGCCACGGAACGTGCTCAGCCCATGAGTTCTCTGGCTTCCCAGTGCCACACGGGCACCCAAACAGACTTTTTGAGGCCGGAGGCAGGTTTCCAAGGAGACACTGTTACCCGGCCACATTTCTTGTTTGCAAGAGCACCAGCAGCAGAGGAAGGAGTAGGTATTAAAGTAGCAGAATTAAAGGAGTTTTGTGAAGACAAAAAGACACAGCAGAGACCCGTTTTGCTGTGAAGGATGATGTGAAGTCGGCTCGCTCTGCATGCAGGGGAGAAGGAGGGAAGAGAAGGGGGAGAGATGCTGTTGTTGACATTATATGTAAATTGTTACCCAGGTGTTTTAAACCCAGTTCCAGTCAGATGCAATCTGACAATAGACTTAAGCAGAGATATATATAGATAGATATTATATTCTGGTGTTTGTTCTGCTCTGCAGTTCCCAGGGTGGGAGCGAACCTTGTGTGTAAGACACAAAAAAAAAGCGCTTGTGGTCGGCCATCGCTACTCTGTTGTGCAATGTATATTTGTGAAGCACTGCCATAGCAACTTCTGTGTACTGGGCAGCTATTTGAGTACAAGCTACGCATCCACCTCTGCGACCAAGGCATTGCTTGAAGAGTTCTGTAACGTAGCTGCTCTGTGACCTGGCAGGGGGGTGCCTGTTTCCCAGCAGCAGCTGAAAAGCAAACACTCACAGACCCATTTGCTTCTGCACACATAAGCATCCACCAGCCCATCACATTTATTGCTATCAGGCAAATCGTCCCAGCGATAATCAGACTTGCCACAGYGCTCATCTTCCTGGGAGAAGGGCAAACATTCGTGAATACTTTGAGTGCATCAACAAATCAGATATTGCCAGGGTGGTCCCATCTCYTGTGCTTTAATGAGTGTCACTGGCATTGGAATTGCAATCCTGAGGGCCTCTGTTCCAGGTGTGACAGGGAAGAAGAACGTGAGTAAATGCCATCAGCATCCAGGAATCACAGGAGTATGGTACCCTCTGCCTGCACACACCATAGTCCCTGTAGCAATGGCAGACAAAGTATTTTGCATGCATACTGGACTCAATCCCGAGACTTCCTGCACGCTTCCCAGAGGATACAGAGCACCTCTTGGCTAGAGGGGTATTGCATTGGCTTGAAATGTTCTGTGCAATGCAGGAAAGAGAGGGGTTGTTGCAGACTTACAAGTACTTCAGGAGTAAATCCTCCAGCTATATTTGTTAATCATGCTCACCAAAACAGCAACCTTCCCAAACTTGTGTGCTACATCTCTCATTTAGCATGGATTTTGTTCACACTTCCACATACAGACAAACAGACAACTGCTTCAGTCAAGCCTATATATTGTAGTATTTATTTAGACAACAATGTTGATAAATCTGAGACTTAGTTCCCTGAGCTTGGTAATATGCGTGGCAGGGAGCCTGGCATGCTTAATGCTCTGTGTTCGAGATTTAAGAACACAAGATTTACATCACATCTCTCATATGATTATTACAGGTCATAAGTAATGAAASTTTGGGGGCCCCAAAAACTTTGGGGAACCAATTCTGCAAGTTTTAGTACTGACRAGTCTATTAGTTTTCTCATTCATTAGTTTTGAAAGAGGAAGATAAAAAGCCTGTATCATTGCCTAAAGTATCACATGGAACAAGAGGCTCCACCACAAGGTTCTTTTTCATTTTTTTGGCAGAGTGCATGCAAAAAGAAAAAATAATTACCTTCTATTTTCCTGTTGTGCAGTAAAGGAGTAGTATGTGCYGTTGCCTTTGACCAACAAGAAGGTTTGCATATTGTAACAAAAATTACTCTGCCTCCAGGATAACAGAAGGAGAAGCCCAAGAGGCCAGGGAACAGCTCCCCTCCCTGCCTTACCCGGTGTGAAGTGTCATTAGCTCCACTGGAGCAGTTGGTTCGGAGCATTTCCCCCAGCTGAGGATCTGCCCACCCGTGTGCTYGTTCCATACGGGGAGTACAGCGGAGCTGCAGCCTCCTGCGCCACGCAAGGACCCGGTCCGTTTCTATTGGTAACAGTTCATGCTACTGATTATCACAATGCTTCAGAAGTGCTAATTATCTTTTCTTGGTAATGACTAATAAATCCAAATGGAGAACAGTCCTGGAGGGTGTTTACTTTAAAATTCACTGGCTGGGTACCAAAGTAGGCACAGCGCTGGCTGCTGCAGTTTGAATTACAGTTATTTTATTTAAAAAATGTTCCATTTTCAGAGTCTTGGTGAAGAATGAGTTTGGCTAGTTTGTGTTTCRTTTTAATGACAGCAGAGTGGGAAACAATCCTTTTTAGTGAAAAGACAATCACTGCCATGATCTTTTTTTCAGCCAAACTGACAAGAGATTTGATAGTTGCAGTTCAGCCTACTAGAGGAAGGCTTCCCAAAGCAACCGCACTGCAGCAATAATTCCCTCTGACTCAGTTGTATTACAGGCATATTTGACAATTATGCAATGGGCATRTGGAGCTGAGACACCTCTCCCTCCTTATTTGGCTACAGGGAGCTGCCTTGTGCCCAGMGGGACAGCTATGGTACCCATCTGGGTGCCCAGCAGCGCTGCCCTGGTGCTTGCCACCAGCTCAGTGGGTCTTGTTCTCCAGCACCCTGGCGCTTGTGCTGGTGTAATGACCCTCAGACTGCCTCCAAGGGACTGTTTCCCTACTGCTAAGTTGTTCAGTGCTGCAGGATGYCAGTGCATGATCAGAGAGAATGTTGTTTTCCCAGGAATGAGAAGCTGAATCGTCCATTAGTCAGTGGTGTTGTCAGGAGGGGAGGTAACCACTGATCCAGCAGTTGCTGAGATGGTTCCTCCAAGTATGCTTTTAATGAGCTGGCTTGTGCCTTCAGCTCCAGCAAACCAAGGCAAGTTCCCAAGTGACTGGATACTAAAAGATCCAGCTCGTTTTCCCACAGAAACAGATGCCAGCCAGTGGCTAAAACTAATGATGGGGATGCAACGCTACTGCAGCCCATCATGATACAAGTAAAGAACCTCCCTGAGCCAGTGCACAGAGAGGTGCTCAGCTTTTGCACATCCAGGCATGTCCTACATGCCACTCTAATGCTGTTATCACGGGTGTCAGAATCATGTAACTTTTCTTGTCATTGTAAGGTATTTCCACCAAATTAATAAAATTGACCCTGTGGAAAACAAAAAATGTTCCGTATATTTCCTGCTAATTTCAGGACTTCCGTTAAATTCATGCCACGAATGCTTCAGGCATTATGAAATGTCCAGTTGTTACATTAACTGGAACTCAGTGTGCCTAGGAGTTACCAGTTGCAAAGGGTATTTTGGCCTACACCCTGTAGTTCATGGGAAAAACGAGAGTGAGCCTGCAAGCARTATGCCTTCAGAGAGGAACAGAGCCAGCAAAACGGAGCAATGCAACTTCAGATGTTTGGATTTACGGAGATTTAAGCAAGCATCATGCTTTTCTTGTGCTTCATCCAGTAAAAATAAACAAAGGTAGTGTGAGAAACTCTAACATCGAGGTAATACGYGAATACTGTGCTGTCAACTTTAGGGACTCACCTTATTTTGGCCACAATGCCATTAATCATCTTTTTGCTACAAACAGTTACCCCTGTGGTTATTTGGAATAAAATGTCTCCATTCAAGAGCTTCCAGAGCATTCTTTGCACTTAGACATTAATCTTTTGGGCAGCTTTCAAGAGGKTCTGTTTTAAAWGTCTGTCCCTTAGTTGCATACTCAAATGAGATTAAGGATGAGGGTTTTGAAGAACATTTCTTCATAACTGTGGCTACTTTGGTTTATGAGTTTATTCATCATAACTCATGCAGAACGCGGTTCCTCTGCAGCAATAAAAGAATTAAGTCCTTCAGCTGTTTATAGAGTCTTGAAAAATGAAATGAATTAAGTACAGGCTCTGATTTTTTCCCCCTTTTTCTTGATACTTGATAGAGGAAGCAAAACAGTTTTTGATGTGTGGGGGACAGAGGGAAGAAAGGAGAAAGCTTCCATGGCCCCACCAAGCAGGCGCCCAACTGGAGGCGTGGAACTGGACCCCAGCAAAAGCTGGAGAATTTCATTGTTCAGTCTGCTGTCAGGGAGACCACTTGTCTTTTTGCTGGTACCTAATGCTGGTACATTGCCTGTCACTCTCTGCATCACACAGGCATTTAATACTCCTTTTCTGTTTAAATGGGAAGAAAATAAACCTTTCTGCTCCCCCCCCCCCCATTTTTGCTGGACCGAGCTCCTGTTTGTTTGGGAGCTCCACCTTTAATAAAAAATCACTTCTTCCCTTGCAGAGAAMCAAGTTGCATTTCAGTGTTAATTTTGACATGATACTCTTGAAAGGTCATTAAGAATAATTTAATAAGTTTTAATAATTTATTATATGTTTGATATAATTTTTAATAATTAATTCATACCTCCACTACTTTCTGCACCAGAATGTTCAGATACATATMATGTATTCCTGCTTCATGTGAGGTCCAGATATTTAGCAGTTCCTGATATTTAGCAGTCCCATAAAYTTCCCAAATGAAGAGATGAGAAGCATCTCTGCTTCCCAGATGCTCTCTTCCATGACAGTCCCTGGCTATCAGATTTTTGTGGAGTCACCAAAGCACCAGCATTTACTTTGTCTTAAACCACATCCCTCAGGAAAGGTCACATCCCAGTCAGACATGCCTGAACCAGTCTTTGGAACAAAGGAAAAGTAACTTCCTGCTCTTTAAAGACTGGTGTTAGAGAAACTTGGGCAATGCTGGCTTACTCTGTTGCCACGAGCAGCCACCAGAGCATTTGAGTGAGCTGTGGCTGTCACGCCAGTTTGCTCTGCTGTGTTTGTCTCCAAAACAAAGAGCAACATCTCACAGCCAAAACCATCGCCTCAGATCCACCAGCTGAAGGGCAAGATTCAGGGGCTTTCTTAGTGCTCCAGCTTAAGCAAGTGTTTAAACAATGGAGGAAAAAATCCTGGCAATTCATTGCCCTGAGTGTCAGAGCTGCAACTTTCAGCTCTAATCCCATTTAGAACTGATGTAGCCCCTGCGATCCTCTGGCTAATGGAGGAGGAGAAGGAGGTAGGCAGAACATCTGAATCTTACACAGCAAAAATGGCAGGCATTGCAACATGCCCTAAAAAGCAAAAGAGCAATAAAAACTGTTAAACAAGACGTTTTTCTGAGGGGCTCTCACAGAGGCAAAGCCCAGCTTCACCAGCTTTTCTGACTAAATCATGCAAAAACCTCAGCCTGTGAGAGTAAGAGCAGATGTCAAGCAGTCCCTCAGCAGCCTCCTGACTGCAGAGACCTCTCTGAACCTCAGTTCTGCCTCTACTCTGCACTGGAGACCCCAGTCCAGCCAGAGAGCACAGGACCCAGACCTGTCCACAGTGTGCTGAAGGCAGATACCAGACCTGTGTCTCTCCAACTGCACGGTGCTCAAAGTAAAAGCTTCGTTACATTATGCATCCTTTTTTTATAGTGCAGTTGTTTTTGATATTGTGATCATGTCTGGAAACTGGGATGTTTGTGAATGAATCAGCAGTAATTATCCCTGTATTTTGTTGTCCGGTGASAGGGACTGACACACGCAGTACGAGTTGGCAATGCCGGATACTGTTTCCAAACGATGGGAGTTCAAGGATATAACGATTTTCTGGTCAGTGGAGGTTAGAGGTGATTTTGTGCTCAGTGTAAATGGCATTGTCTGGCAGAGACAATTAGCAAATGAAGCGCTGCCTCACCAGAGGCTTTGCAGCCTCTGAGTCTCTTCTTCCAGGCTGACAACAAACAGAAATTTGAGATGGTATCTCGGGTTTCCAAAACAGGAAGCTGCTAAATCCAGCAAGAGAGCAATTCATTTCCCACTTATAATGATGCTGCTCTTATATCGCCTTTGAGGATACTGAAGTGTTTTCCAAAGGGTAGCAAGGGCGGTATTTCATCCCCATTTTTCACCAGATGAAAGACCAACTCTGTYGGGAGTGGAGCCCRGAGAGGGGTGTATTTCTGTGCRGAGCTGGTTACTTCGCTGTGACTCRGGCTCTGTTCCTTTCTGCAGTCTCCCTCCCACCCCTGACTACCATGCCCAAGTCACAGCATGGCACAGCCCTCCTTCAAACCCCTTTTTCTTTCAGGTCTCTTCTGTGGAGGAGGAGTTAATGGAAGTTTCCACTCACTTGTTATATTWATGCACTCTGAATKACTTCTATAAATCGTSAGAGTGGSCCACATCAGGCACRTGCAGGTTGGTGCAATTACAAGGTRCAGAAATGTACCCTGGACACCAGGTTCCTCTGGACAAGTGCTCTAGGTCTGGCTTTAGAGTGTTGCTGTGCCAAGGTGATGAGTTATCACAGCCAAAGCTTTTCTTTTTATTTTCTTTTTTTTTTTCTGTTCTCCCATCATCCCCTGTTGGGTACTTGCAAAGCTGGCGAACAGAGAAGTAATAAGCTGAAAAAAATTAAAATTATTTCAAGCTACATTCCAAAGTAAAACTTCAGAGATTTTCAACTAAATAAAGAGCTTTAAAAAGCTTCCAATTAAACAAAATATTGTTCTGACAGGACTCCTCAAGCAGTATCTTCAATAATTCAGATTCATATGACCAGAAGTTTTGAGAGAACTTCCAGAAGGGAGAGCATTTTGAAAGAAAAATTCAAGATGTTTAATCCTGAAACAATTGACACARAACATTTAAATTTTCCCTCTTGTCTTCCAGCCAAGAACTATTCATCAAAGTTATCTCAAGTTTTATATGTGGCTTCAGTTTTCTGGAACTTTTCAGCAAATCCCATGCTTGCAAGAGTTTAGAAGTGTTTTCCAGTTTCACTTTTTGTTTTCCTGTGTGTCTAACACTGAAGTTCCTGGTGTGAAAACATTCCCAAGTGCTTCTTCAGAGCGTTCCCAAATACTGCATCCACAGTGCAGCACGCACAGGTTGTTCCCTGGAGATTGGTACCAACTGCTGAGTAAACAGCAGCACTCACTGCTCCACACACAACCTGGGACTGCTCCTGCTGAGATCAACGGAGACCAATCCCAAGSAATGTGGGAAATCACACCTCTGCAACGCCAGTGATGCTGGGTAAAGTCTGCAGATGTTTTTTTTCTGGGTAAAATTTGGTTCTTAAATAGGCTGAGTCCTGCTACCAAAACAGGTGCACTTTTACCAGCAGCAAAGCATGAGCCAGGTTCTGTGGGTGCTGTGCTGCAGCAGGGGCAGCGAGGCTGAGCACCTCACACAGGCTGAGCACCTCACACAGACTGGGAACCTCACACAAACTGCAATTGGACTTTCATAGCAGGCATTTCTGTGCACACCTGCTTCCATCTCACCTCCCTCTCAGTCACGACCCACCGCTCAACAGCAGCCTACTRTAGAAATCTTCAGCTTTCTGCAATCCCCAGGAATTTTCCATGGGATGTCTACATCTGTGAGATTCAATAACACAAATTTCTGCATAGAATATGACCTTTCCACAAAGGACATGTTCAGGGTCTCGTACTAGTTGGCTACAGACACCCCTGGGATCTGTAGCTCACAGCCTGAAGACTGGGGACTTAGAACTTTTCTCTGAGATTCTATTAGAGCTTCTTAATTAAAAGACCTCTTTGGGGACCTGAATTGAATTGGAAACCATGGTGATCACTTAGGTCAATCATTCACACAGATGATTGCATTTGGGAGAGTGAGGTGGAAGATGGGAATGTGTGCATGTTGAAGAGCTTTAAGAAAAAAAAACGAAAGGCCCAAATACCTGTAAAAATGAGGCGCATGCGTGATTTGCAATAGAGCAGTTAGAGGATTTATCATATAGGGCTCAACATTCACTACTGAATTAGAGACTAACAGCTCTCTGTCTTGTTGCATTGAAAAGTGTCTTTGACATTTCTCTCTCTGAGAAATCCTACAGCCCCAATACGCAGGGTTAACTTCTTGTAACCTCCAGCAATAAATAAGATTGTTCATGGAATTCACAGGAGACTGGTGTCTGTTGATCTATAATCTATCTTGCATTAGCAGTTGCTTACAAGCTGCTTCCTGTTCTAAGGTGGAAGTGGAACACCAGAGCACAGAGGCTGCAGGAGTTTGGCTCTTCCTCTCTCCATCACATCGATTCCTCCCCCTGCCACCTGCCAGGTCTCCTACTTGCTTTGCAGGCAATATCTGCAATACCCCCCACACCCACACCCTGCCAGCAACAATTCCATACTCAATCCACAATGTGCAAAGAATAAAACAGTAGCTGCTGATGTGCAGAAGCAAGATTTTTTTTGTTTGTTTTTTAAAAAACTATTTATTTTAGTTATTTCTTACTCCACAGTTAACTGATTGCAAGTCTCAGACGTGCTGCCAAGCTGGAGTGCACACACCCTCGGGACCAACCCCCGGCCTGCCCCATTGCAGTCAGTTCCAGGGCTTCTGACCTGGAAGGAGGCTGGAGTGGCAGTCAGGTTAATATTCCTTGCCAACTCATTTCAGGATGCCATGCCTTGTGTGATRGGTGTAATTATTCCAAGTAGCCTCGTGCTGGAGCCTTCCCCTCAAGGCCAACCAAAGTTTTATTCTATTTGTATTACTGTCACCTGGAAGCTCTCAGTGGAAGTCAAGAACCTTTGTTCTCTACTGGCTTAGTCTGCAGGGCTATAATTAGACTGTGTGAGATACAAGCAGGATGCAGCATGCATACAATGACAGGTATTCTCACAGCAAAGGGAGAAGAAACTTTGTGCCAGAGAAGCAGGACCAAACACTGAAACCACAAAGTTTAAGGAGCAGCAGGTCTGCTCC